CGACCACTCACAGAGTGAATGTCTGTCTTTAACTCATACTCTCTTGTAAGCTTCCAAGTTTCACTTCTGACTCTCAGACACTTACTTACAGTGAGTATGTCATTGGGACATCAACATCCAAATTCAACAGCTCCGCCTCCTCTAAACATGACTCATCTTTCTCATTCTAAGAGGTCAAATTTTAAGCAGAACCAGCTCTTTGCTGGGTTCCAATGTTACCTCCCATTTGATGTCCCACTTCTCATTTTGTAGTCCATGTCTCACTGCACACAGCAGCTTGAGTGATGCAGAGAAAAGGGGTACTCTAAGAACAGGGTTCACGCTCCTTGGTGGGGGTCGTGCTTGTATGCAGGCTGGCTTGCTCTACCTGTTGAGGAGGTACCAACTCCTCAGTGGTTACTCCTGGTGGTGCTCGGGGGAACCTATGGGATGCCAGGGATCCAACCTGGGTCGGCTGCCTGAAAAGCAAATGCCCTACCCATTGTACTATTGCCCCGACCCACAACCTGCCCAGTTTTATCTTCACCTTGGCTCTTGCCTCATCCTAATCTGACAGTCACACAAAGACCAAAAGAAGGAGCATGGAACCAAGGTGTTTGGAGACCAGAAGATTCAAAAGTACTAGTATCAAGCCCAACATCACATCATGCTGGAGTTATGAACATGAGAACCCAGTGTTACCAGTATTGTTAACAGAAGAGTATAAATTCAAAATTTAAAAAATAAGCATAAAAATTAATAAAGTCACCACGACACTTATTCAGTGGTCTGTCTTTGAAAGCAATATTAATACTCTTGTATAAACACTGGATGAATAAAAATAAGCAACAGAAAACTCCAACTTAGGTTTCCAAATGCCAGATCACCCAATCAGACATGTGCAAGGTACAGAGTAGGTACCAAGAATTTGCATTGTTCCCCACTGCCATCTACTAACAAGTTTAACTTTAGACTTCATAGTGAATTATGTTAGTATTTATTTACCTTCATTCTAGTCTTAGGAAGAGTATAATCAATTTGCTATGCAGGTAACGGAATAACAATGAGTATCAGTCTCTCTCACAAAGAGAGACTGATACTTCCCTTTCATACGTAGGATCCTACCTAAAATGTCAGAGCAATTCTTAGTTCATTTAGACAGCAAAAGGAAAATACACCAGGATTTGATGTTACAGATTTAAATCACAAGATTGCAGGCTCTAATCTATGCAGGAAAATAAAAGCACACATTAAGTTGGCAATGCTAAGAGCACACAATGAAGCATATTCTCAACATCCAACTAGTCTCCACCAAATAAAGATGATTTCAAATTACCTGTGGTATGAGGAAAAGATATTATGCAGAAGTGAAGCATTAAAGACTGCACACTCACTAGTCACGCGAATTTATGAGCAACAGTAGTGGTATAATTCAGAGTGAGATTTAGTTTTCACTCTAACATACAGGGACTGGGATTTGGAAAATGAATTTTTAACATTCTCAATTTATGACAAAGCAATGCCTGGTGCTAATCAAAGAAGTATGGGAGAGGGTAGTATTTTTTTAAGGGCAGTATTTTGAAAAGCAAGCAAAATAAAAGCTTTTGACAGTCTTTCTCCATGAAAGAGTAGCTGTAAAAAATATTTTCAGGCAGGAATACATGCATGAGTGCCACAATTAAAATTCAGCTTCATTTCCATTCATTAATTTATTCGACAACTATTTATTGACTTCTACATGAAACAATCAGGAGAAATGCAATTCTAATGACAGAGATAAGAAAGGCACTGTGGAAACACTTCTAAATTAGCCATTCTCTATTTTCCAAGGGGACTCTGGGGAGGTGTCATGAATATGAATAATTAGCAGATTTCAATAACACATCTAGTCAAGAATGGGGACCTCCAAGCCTCTGTGCTAAATGTCATTTGGAGATAAGTCGTAGGTGCAGAACAATGGCACGCAAAATATGCACGGATATAAAGTACATATCCAAAGGACAAGGGACAATTTCCATTTTAAATATCATTTTCCATTTTTTTTCCAAAACATGCTTGCATCTGTCTGAGTATACAGCCGGCTTGGCAGGCGCCAAGACAGAGAAATCTCATGACCTCTTGGGTTCCTGCTGAGCAAACAGTGGATTAAAGGCTCCTTAAGCACCACTGAATTCAAGGCCATGAAGGTAAATCTATGGCTCTGAAGTGCTTTGAGCAGAATTACATGAAGACGAAAAAAGACAGAACCTAGGAAATCAGAGAGCCTATTTTCAGGAAGAAAGCCCTGTGGAAACATTTTTTGAGATCTGTTAGGAAGTAACAAGTAGAGGGAGAAAGAATCAAGCTCATTTTGAAGACCAAGAGAGCTTACAGAAATACGTGCACCAACACTTGATTCTTCACTTCGGAATGCTAAGCAGCCCTGGTATAATTCTTTTTTCTTTCAGAGCATAAGCCACTACCTTCTTGGGATTTGGGATAGCTTTCCGAATAAAGTGGTTATCACAATTCTTTGCGTAAATGAAACAGTTTATTCTTGACTAGTCCTTAAAAATACTCCCTCAAGTTCAAATCAAGTACCTTTCAGGCAATATGTCACTGTTTTACGTAAGTGATACTATATCTAAATATCATTTACATAGAATGACCTTTTAATAAGTCTTTGGAGTAAGGAAAACGTTGCCCTTCTGAGTGAGGAAAAATGGACTTGCACTTGGTTTTGTCACCAGCTGATCAATGGGTCAAACCATTTAAACCTTCCTGAAAATGCATTTTCCTATTTATCTTCACTACAGAGATTTTAGGAAGATTGAATGACCACCCCCCAAAATAGTAAAGTGCTCTTAAAATAACAATCATATACAAATGGTAGTTCTCAGTGCTCAAGAAATATGGAAGGAAGGAGTCTGCTAACAGCAAAGGAGAGAAACCATGACCAATGAGATAAAGGGAGGTGGGGAATGGATACTCTGCTGGAGGGAGTGGTGTTGCAACAACACATGCTTGAAACTCTACCATTATCATTAATCATGGTGCCTCAAATATAAAACTTTAAAAAACTACAGAAAAAAAACACATTATCAAACACCAATAATCTTACAGTATAAAAATACTTTTATTCCTAGGTAACATCAAGTTCTATTTATATCAGCCCCAACGCCATCCCCTGCCCATTGACATACTTAAAAATTTAAATTCTATGGATGTTAATAATGCTTCTAAATGAAAGAGAGGGAAATTTGTTTTCTACCATCATCTTCACTGCCAAATAGTCTCAATGCTCCCTCCCCCATGGTATGCCTGTGTTTTCCTTGCTATTTTCTCACTTAGGTTTTTTTAATCACAGTTCCTGCTTACTCACACTATGCTGCGTATCAAAGATGATGGGAGGGCGGGCATTAAAAAGGTACAGAGACAGGCTGGGAAATAGCTCAAAGAGCTGGAGCACAAGCTCTGTGAGAGCCCCAGGTTTGAAATTCAGAATTCCTCGGAGTGTCCCTCTGGACAAAACAAAAGAAAAACGAAGACACGGTCCTTGTCCCAAAGAGTCACTATCTGTTAGTAAATGTCATTAAAAATAATTGATAAAAAGGCAAACTGCCAAGTAGTTCTCTGAGAAAGGGCCAGCGTGTTCTGAGAATGCAGACAAAAGATAGATTATATCCAAATGCAGGAATATAACTGAGCTCTGTGTGGAAAATTATTTGCAGGAAGGCACTGTCAGATACAGGTCAACGAGGAAAGAGGTTAGCACTAGACTGAGAAGCAAGCTTGAACTTGACCCAGAAAGTGAATGCGAACAGGGTGTATTCATAAATAGTATCTACAACAGCATGGTCAGAACACAGGTACAAAGAGGAGATAAAGTTGTAAAAGGGAGGTTATGGGAAAACTATGAAAGGTTATAAATGCCCAGATGAGAGACTGAATTTTTTGAAGTAGGAAAACTGAAGGAAGAATGTGGTGATGGTTCTTGGTTCTGGGAAAAGTCAGAATGGAGGATTTATTGGAGGGGTAGGAAAGAGACTAAAGGGAAGCCAACTGAATAAGTAGTTCTGGCCACAGGTCAGAGGTATTAAGAGCTAGAGAAAGGGCAGTACAGCAGCAGAAGCCAAGGATGAATGGCAGTTTGCTTTTTCATCTTGAAGTGACATACTCCCTGAGGGCACTGGTCTCAGACATACTGTGTTGCTCAGATTAAGAGGTCTTGATGCCTTGGGCTAAACCAAAGAGATGAAAGTACTCAAGTCCCACAAATTCCAGCAATGTCTCCTTTAAAGACTCGCCTGGTGGCATTTGTCTAAAGAAGGCACACTGGGTTAGAAGTGATCATGTACAAAAGCCTTTCTTAACTTCTTGTGATACAGCAAATGTAATACAAAAAGTGCAAGTCGAATGATTTGCATTATCCTGACACTACACAATATCCCAGAGTTTTACATCTTTGTCCTCTCTGCGGTCACTGTGAATTTCCGTTAGCCTTTTGCTTCTCTTATTTGTACTTTTACATGTGAATCTTTCTCAGGTGATGAGTGACAACTGGAATCAACGCCCTGATCTGCTGTGACAATGACCATAAAGGATTTCTGTATTTGACGGAGAAAATCAGGATGAACTAATATGTTTCCAAACATAACCAAGCCAATAAACCTACTTTCTTAAATACTTAGACATATATACAGCCCGACACATATACACATTATATCATTATAAAAATTAAATGACCTACTTCGTTCTTAAATTCTATTCTCAAATATGAAACCAAAGCCTCTGGAACACATGTAACAAATCAAATACCGCCATCAGTATTAATTCCACTCACCCCTAAAATATGAGTTCTTAATTGCACTATTACATTTATGTTCTTCTTTCAGGTGACAAAAGAATCTGTAAATGGAGCTAAACAGATTATTGTAGAAAACAATTTAGACATAGAATGACTCTAAGATTCCTGGCACTTTTCTATGTGTGCATGTGGATGCACTCTGCATACCAATGACAAATCTAGAAATAAAACTCACCTGTTTTCCTCCTCAAGATCTGCTAGGATTCTCTCTAGCTCCCCTCTTTCCTCACTCTCTAAGGAAATCAAGATCTGGGCAGGACTACGAGGCTGGCTCAGGGGGGAGTCCTGGTTCAAACTTTGGCAGTAATGCTGGATTAACAAATGTTCATCATCTCTGGAAAATAAAATCAAAGGTTTTGGTTTTTGCCCCCCTTATTTGGCTTTGGGGGTCAGGGACTCAGGTGTGTACTTAAAAATAGAAACATTTATTTGCTCTTAACAATTACCCTTTTTCCTGCTTCTAAATACATTTGGATATGGTCGGGTTGAAAACTGGTCTACCAAACTTGAGACAATTCAGTGTTTCTTGCTCAAGTGTTTAGTAGACTCGGATTGGCCTATTTACATGGGTAAATGAGTGGCAGAACTACAGAAATACTGGGACTCTATGCTGACAGCTGAAGCAATAGTTAATAAATATTAAAAGGCATAATAATGACTGTATAATGTTTGTTACTAAGCCTGTCAAGAAAATCTGTTGAATATTACTGATACTGACCAGGAAAATTACTGCAACCCTTAAAATAAGAGTAACTGTCTCTTAAATGGGAGACAGTATAACTGAAAAGCATTATGCTGATAAGCTAGTTTGAAGTAATAAAAACCATAAAGGCAGGACTGAATTAATAGTGAAATTACAGACAAATTATATAATTTGATTATAGTTTAAATGGGAACACAAAAACTGGACCCAAAAAAAGGTAAATAATTTTTTAAAAAATTAACTCACTGCTAGAGGCAGCTTTGAAGGATTAATCTTGAGGAACAAAAAGGCAAACGGGTTGGGGATTTGGCTTAGTGATAGAGCACCTGCATTGCATGCATAAGGCCCTGGGTTGAACGCCTGTAACACACATACACATGCACACACACAAAAGTATTATTTTGGGAGGTAGATGCATTTTTTCCTTGAAACTAGGATTTTTCTAACACAAGGAGAAATTATCTTCTAAATATATTGCTCCTGAAAAGCCTGTGTGCTTCCAAGTTATAAGAACTTCATTCTGTTCTTCATGAGAGGTTACAGCACTTTGCTTCTGGCTAGATATCATTAAAATGATATATTCGCATTCCCTTTTTCACACCCACTTAATTTCCTTTTCTCATCTCCATGCCTTCCGAGTTGGGGAAAAAAAAACACAAGATTTTAGGGTAAAATCCTCCCGATTTAAAAGACTTTGGTCTGTCAACTCAGATAACTGGTTGAGAAATGATAAGTTGAACAAAAATAATTATTGGGTATTAAAAGCAAATATTTAAGTGAAGTCAACCAATAAACCACTAACCACTTCCCCCAACTTACCCCTAAATTATCATGATTTTACCACACAACACTGGGTCAAAGTGCATGTCCTCTAAATGAGTTAAAACTATATTTCCTTTAAAAGAAAACTGAAAGCACTTTTACTGCCTACCTAATTTACTGTCTTTCTACCCAAATTTTGAAGTTTTACTGCTAGAACTTCCCATTCTTAATGACATCTAGTTCTAACTAAACCACTCTTTTTCTTAGGCAGTTGCCATTGTTACACACCTAGAACTAGCATTCCTTTGCAAGTGGTAGAGCTTCTAACACCTTTCTGTGATCCAAAGAAGCAATTCATTCAGTTTATTTACCTTTGATTGATTCTTTCATCACATCCTTTTCTGTCAAAGTATTTCCTGTACAGTAAATACTCTTAACACTTTTTTTTACCATAGCTGAGAACGCAACAAGCTTTGTTGAGTTTTCATTGAGTGTTCACTTGATTCTTTATTGTTATGTATCAGATGAGATAACTAATTCTCATGTCTTGAATAACCAGTTATGTATACATGCTCCTTTGATACGACTACTCTCGGCCAAGTCCTCCTAATTGCTCTTTTCTCATCAGAGTGTGACCTTGGGCCACCACACCAAGTACATGTGACAAATGAACCATTCTTCCTCTTGTTTAGCTCTTCTGTGACAGAGGTGCAATAACCATAACTTCTCGAACTAAAAGCGTCATTTGATTTTGACTAGATTTGCTCTCTCTTAATTACCAATTCAGTGAGTGTATCCTTAGTTTTCCCTTCTTACTAGCTTCTAAATCTGCTCTCTTTCCCTCAGGCCATATCTCCATTTATGGCAATATTCCCCATGCTCCTTATTGTGACTATGTAGAATATTTCTCTAGTCATGTTCTCTATGAGCTTGAGTAGTATACTCTCTCCTCCTTTTTTAGTTTGACTTAAGAGCTGGCTATTACCCAACTAAGAAACTATGACCTAAACCTATACACTCTCTTATGAAAGCTTTAATAAAACTGCCTTACTTTAACTCATAATGATGCTACGTCCAAAAAAAAATCTATGACTTCAGATCGCTGAAGGAAGATGGCCAAGCAGTCTACTGTGTGGGAAGATCAGGGTAAATATCCTGGGATTCTATTTCCACTGTCCATGAGTGGAAAAACATACTATTCATCCTCTACTTTAAAACTAATATACATTTCCTTTAAGTATCTGTAGGGTTTGGTCAAAAATTAAACATTTAAAATGACTGAAGAATTTGGGACTCCATAATCTGGTATGATATGGTATTAGATCAGAATCAGGAATACTGTTTTTGCTAATTGGAATCCCAATCATGCCAGAATTGGGGTGAGCTCATTCTCTGTCAGACTGTTGAAAGTTAAAGGGAAAAATGTTAACAGAATGGCTCTTTGAAAGATCGAATGAATATAATGCTTACCCTATCTGCTGTACTATCCTACCTCTAAATCCCTCAAAGCAATTTCATGGTCAGGAACATTTTGTAAAAAGAGATGGGATACTTACATGCTCTCATTAGGAGAGATGCTATCATTTAGATAAGATCCATTGCTGTTTTCCATTTCTGCTAGCCTGATAAAAAACGTAAAAGCTCATTAAAACTTATGTGACTTCTTAGAATCTATTCAAGACCTAATCGAACATTCCTGAAAACTAAAGGATAAATCATGTCAAGAGGAAAAAGGAATCCTTCAAACTAAAGGATGAGTGTGCTGGCCTAGCCGTTTGAGACAGTGAGTGGTAGACCACAGCTAGTTAGTAGCTTCACATTTATGCTATAAATTCTAAGGGAAGTTGTAATTCATGGCTGTTTCTTTCTTCAGTGATCGATCTCCCTTTTGCTGAGAACAGGCCTTTGTTTTCAGAAGAAAAGCTCCCCTAACAACAACTTGATCCAGACCTTACACTACCCCTTGCTTTTAAAAGACAATTAAAGATTTTCACTGATGAGAGATTTATATATGTGTATTTTGTGGCATGTACATGTATATATAGCTAGTTACTGCTTTCCACTGTTGATAGACATGTTGGTTCAGAAGTCAGAATATCAATAAAGGATGGATTCACAGTACGCTTTCTAAACTTCTGCTATTCATTTTTACCTGTAAACGCCTCCATTACCTCAGACAATAATAAAATCTTTTTACAGCTTAAAAAAAAGTTAACCAAACTCTTACAGATTGACTTAACAAGCATAAGATATCTTATAATTAGCAATTCAGTTTTTAAGTATAAAACTTAATCTCAAGCACAAAGCAGGGGTGTGGGGATGTGGGCAGAAAGGTTCAAGGATTAGGAAAATTAATTATTCTCTTCTTTACAGCAAATTATGTCAAATAAACACACAAATGGAAGGTCAATGCTTTCGTATTCTCCCCTTAATACAGAATATCACTTATTTACATATTTATGTTTGGTCTGGCAGTTTTCTAAGGTTAGACGATTTCTAAACCAAGTTATTACACGTGCTCAGTATACAAAATAGAACAAAGTTATCAGGATTTTTCAAGGTCAGGGTTAGGGAAATTGCTCTGGACTAATGCTCTTAGTGATGTTCAAAAACAACATGCAGTGAAATGGCATGCACGTTAGGGGGCAAGTTGATTAGTAGAAATCAGACAAGATCAGGGGTGGGAGGGGAGATTGGTTTAAAATCATTATAGGTTAGCTTTCCTTGGTTAGTTATTTCAACCAATATTTGCCTGGCATTCAACTAGTCTCATACCTGCTAGCATAATGTTCAATGCGTGAATGAGTATCATCGTGTGAGAGCTGAGGGGACGAGGCAGGCCTATAAGGCAGAAAATGTGATTAGTCACAGATACCATCCTTTCCTGGAGAAAAAAAAACCCCACCATACAGAATGCTTTTATTCTAATTCTACGGATAATGTACGCATTTAGTTGTTCCTGCTTCTTAGAGATATCAAGAATTTTAAATCCAGGTTTGAAAGAGGATTTCTCATCCTTCTACCTTTCTCAAAAGCCACAAAGAGATTAAAAACTCTGGGATGTTTCAAATACAGGAAAGGTTGGGGTAGACAATTTCTGTGTGACATTCCACACTCCAACCTTGTCATTTCTCTTTAGTAGTCCTTTGTGGCTTCACGTTTTAAACGAATTATGCCTGTGCTAATTACTAGCTGCCATTTTATTGAGTGGAAACTATATGTTTGTCTAGAACGTTTACAACAAACAATTTTAGTTCCAATAAGGCCACTGCAGTCCATGATTCCTTAACATCCCATGTAGCAAAATATCTTGGTCCACATAATTTTGTAAAGGAAGTATATCTACCAATTTTAGCAACAGAACCACTATGCAGTTCACAAAATACAATCGAATGGTCCACAATCACTCGCTGATGTTATTAAAAGAATGACTAGGTTAAAGAGAATATCACGTTGTCTAACATCTTTTATTAGGGGTACAGAGGGGAAATGAGAGGGAAACTTAGAAAAAAAAATGTCTACACACTTTGGCGGTTTGAACCCCGTCAAAAATTTCCCTCACAGACTAGAATTTTTATGGGGTTAAATTTTTTTTCTACCCTTACATATCTGGTCTATTAATTATCCTTGAAATTTTTATAGTATCTTTTAGATTCACCTTAGGGAAAATACCCACTGCTTTTGAAAACCAGTTTGGGCTTGTGCTATTTTGTTTTAATTGGAACAAGACAAAAGGGCTCTTCCATTTCTCTTTTGACACAGAAAGCCCTTAGGTAAAGGCTTGATTCCAAAAATCGGCAGCAATCTATTGAATGAGGACTGTTTTTAGTCTGACATCCAAATGGCATTCAAACACTTGGTCAGGATATTTAAAATAATATCTTAAATATCAAGTCCCCCCATACATTAAAAATATGTAGTTGCCTAGGTATACATACGGAATGTGCTGGAAATCCTTATTTCTTAAAGAAAATATGTAAATAAGATGACTACAATATATGGCAGCAAATATAGAGTATTCTCTGAGAAAGAAAAGTCTTATTACAAAGCCAATGCTATTGTATAGGTCAAATGTCACCATTATCAAATTTGAAATGAATTTCAAAGATTTTAGAACATCTCAAAGAAATAAAAGGATGACTACCTAATTTATTAGGCAGATCATTCACTATCATTTTGGATACTTAATTTGTTCAATTGCAAGAACCCTGAAACATCCCACTAGTAGAAGGATGCTATGGTTTATATTGAAATATTCACTGTAGGTCAAGATAATTTAGTGTTAGGATTTACAGTTTAGATAATCCAATCTTTTATCTTCAGTTTTATAAGCCAAAGGCCTATTATCAAGGAAAATACATTAGTATTTCCCCTTATTATAATTGCTACCTTGGTAGTGCAGAGAAAAAAACTTGAGACCTTGGGGCAAAACTACACCAAGAACACCAGGTATATAAATCTAGAACACTTTAAAAAGTATCCACTAGAAAACCACATGCAGAATTTTCACTAGGCCTTGAGATTAATTGCATGTTATTTTTCTTGTTAATGTGTATAACATCCAACAGTGCGCATGAGCACAAAAACTCATAGTAACTAGAAGTCTAAAATATATGCATGTGTGTGTATTTACATTAAAGGAACGACTAACAAGATGAGCCAAAAGGAGTACTGGCCAGAGAACCATTTAAAAATAGAAAATTAGTATAAGTCCAAACTCTTTACTCCAGAAACAAAAGTAAATACAAAGCCTTATAAAATATTTTCCGGGGGAAGTATAAGTATTGTTCTCCTCTCCTACTTTCTAAACACACAAGAATACAAGAAAGACAGTTTCTCTCAGTAGTTGAGCCAATTACATCCCTCCCACAACCATTTTTCTCCTATGTGAAAACTCCGTTAATAACTTTTCATCCACTCATCTTTCAAAGCAGAAGAGCTAAGTAACACTGTTTCACTGTCCTCCATGTGGACAATCACTATAAAAGGTTTTTGCTCGGTTCAGTTCCAAACAGTATCACAAATACAGGTAAGTATGTTTTTCTTCTAAAGAAAACCAAAAGACCTGCATCTTAGTAAACTCTTCAATTCTGTGATTCATATGGAATGGGTTAAATGCTGTCACCATTATAGGATTTGTTAACATCAGATAGAATTCTTGCCAAATTAAACACCCCAGAGCCTGGCTGTTCTGCCTGAATAGACTAGCTTTACAATCTATTTTATACATTATTTATTATCCTATGAGCAAATATTTAAAAAAAATTAATGGCATTAAACAAAACAGGAATTGTAGTTGCTAGTTTTGTTTCCTTCCTCCAAATCAAAACTTGCCACTATTATCTAAATAATCTAACAGACTTTTTGTAAAAAGGTAAGTAAAGCAGGAGTATTTTCTAGTTGTTAGGTACTGTTGTCTAATAAAGGAAATTATTAAAATCTTTAAAATTTAAGGACAGCCTCTAAGATAAGCAACATTAGAGTGGTCATTAGGACTTTCCTTATTAGCCCGCATATCACCATATTCTTTGTTGTTATTTATCATTTGTGCCACTTCTATCCATGCATCTAAAATGTACTTCAGTCATTTTGTCTTTCACACCTTTGAACTGGTTAAAATTTTTTTCAACACGGAGGAAACCATTTGCTGATGAAAATCCAATCAAGTCAAGGATTTCTGTCTACCAGTAGCTCAAATATCTTATATATTTATATAATTAAATATCTAGCTTTAATAAGAAATAAATGACCCAGGTTAGGGAAAAGAATTATTCACGACAAGGAAATAAAATAATTGAATCTAAATAATTCCCCAAGTTGCTTAAGCATGATGAATAAAAATGAAGGCATATTGATACTGTATCTTAAAACTAAGTGGGGAGAAGCAAAATAATAAAAATTAGAACAAGTATATACTTCTTTAGGCTGACATAAATTAAATCCCAATTCTTAATTTAAATTCATTACTACAGGATTTCTTTAAAAGTATAGTATTTAAATTATGGGGTATAATAATAAAGACAACCCAGTGAAAATAATCTGAATTCTTACATAAGCTCACCTTTCAAACTATTTATTTCTTTCTTACATATAATAGCTATTTATCTTTAATTATTTTAATAAAATATAATTTTTACATACAAAAGATGTCATATAAACCATATAAAACAAAACTTTAAAACATGCACATTCTCCTAATATATAAATTACAGAGGCTCAAAAGTGTTCTGACATTAAAACTATGAAATTATCCTATCATTGTTGGTATATTAGTATTATTAATACACACCAGTAATAATAACAAAGACTATGTTAGGCATTCCTTCCAGTGTTACTGTTTAACTATTTATGAGCTGAATACTTAGCTTGGAGAGGAGAGCAAATTGAGTTTAGTTCAAAACTGAGAAACTCATGCCTATAAAGATTAGTCAAATTGCACGACATTACTTGACAGAAAGCCCACACACCACACTGAAATGACTCAAGCAAACTCAAACATCATACTAACAAACAAATCGTATTAGTTTTTAAAGGTCCACTTATAACAAGCCCAAAAGAATAAGCCATTATCCATCTGAAGGTCCAAAAGCACTGACTCTCAAGAAAAATAGCTCAAGAATGTTCTTTTGTAATGTGAATATTCTTCACTGAGTATACTGGAAGGGTTATAAACACTTCTCCTAGAAGTACGACTAACAACAAACACAATGTCTTTGCTGCTAACTTGTGCGCTTTCAAATGTGCCCAGGTGGAGCCCTGAACACCTCACTCTGATTCTCCTGATCCATGGCAGATGGCACTCTTGAAAGTCTCACCAAGGGGAGACAAATAATCAGAATGAAGGAAGGGAAACTAATGTATTTAATACAAAATAAAGAAACAGAACGAAAACTTAAAAAATCAAGCAAGCGAATGTGTTGGTGGTAGTAGCACCCTTCAGCAGAAGTACTCACGCAGAATCTACTGGCCAGAAGTTGATCAGAGTAACAGGACTGCAAAACAAAAAATGGGGTGGTGAAGAGAGACACAGGCAAACTCAGCCGCAAAATAATCACTGAAACGCCAAATGAAATAAAATGCAACCAATAAAGTATGAACTATGGAAAGCAACAGCCAAACAAAGGTGGAAAGTGAATCCAAAGGAAAAAAATAACAGTTAAGTTATTGGCATACACATTGTAGCAAAAAAAATTGAGAAGGAAAAGGTTTTAAAAAGGTGAAGACATCATCTGTTTGATCATGAGAATCATTACTACTTACTGTGGAGAAACTTCCTGCAATTCTCTTTGCTTTCAAGTAGAAAAAAAAGTGACTAGATATGACCACACAACTGGATAAAGAAAGACACACATCTACTGATTTGTGAGGAAAACCAAAATGAAATATTGGAATCACTCATTTGTAAACAGTCCCATATTTCTTAGAAGCCTTGAGATGTAATTAGTAGCTGTGAAATGTTGTTTCCCCACTCCCCGCCACATGAGATAAAATTTAATATTTGGAAAAGGTCATTGTCCTGGGACAACTAATATGGCAACATGGCAATCAGACAGCAGCCTGTTTTTGTCTTTTCAGTTGAAGGAAGTCTAAGGAAAGAAATAGGAGAGACTGTTTGCATTTCGGAGTGAAAGAGAAGAGTCAGCTGAGAGGAGCTCCGATATACATCAAATGAGAGGCGGTTGTGCTTTTGCCACTACTCACGTTTCCATGTTGTCCCCCTCTAAGACAGTCTGTACTGGCAGGTAGCCCATTCGGGGATGCTTCGCAAAATACCTTTTGGTTCGAAATTTGTTTTTCAGTACCTTGGCAAAGTCGCGAACATCTTCTCCAGATGTAGTCTGAAAGAAAAATTGCTAGACATCAGACTCGGGAGGGTAAGACATCAACACAAAGGATCATTCCACTGTTGGCATCCTGGTGGTGGTAGGATGGTTGTAGGTTGTAGTAGGGAGATCGAAAACAAAGGCTTTGGGAATCCAGAAAAAACTCACAGAGGATCAATCAAACAGAGCAAAAGTCAAATGCAGTGGTTGTCAACTACTGGCGCATGGACTACCACTTGTTGGCAGGTGTCAAAAGGTTGAAACGAATAGACTGTGGTGAATTTTGCAGGTCATCACATACATTTTGAGATGTGAAATGGAACCCCTAAAATATACACAGTCTCATGAATTGTTACATGTCAATAAAAGTAAAATATTAAAAAGAGGAAAAGTTAAAATCATGCTTTCAGAAAAAGTCTTTACATGGAATAGTGGAATTTATCTGGACACATTATTTACCTATTTGAGACAAAGATCACAAGTGAAGTGGGGGCAACTGCCTCTCACATAGCTGTTTGAATGAATGAAGTGTATCAACTACTGGGCTACTTGGGAAATGGGAAGTTTATATAGGGATCCTCAAGATGAAAAGTTAACCTGAATTTTCACCATCCTCCACAGCATTTCAGAACTGTTTTTCCAACAGTGACATCCTCTTTCGCCAGCTAAATGTCAGTCCATGGAAAGCATGGTACACTCTCCATCACTCAATACCTTTGTGAAAGGAATCAGAGTGAGCACGATAATTTCATGGGGAGGCTCACGCCTATGGTGATAATAGAGATGCTCTGAAGCAGAGCTTCTCAAACTTTAATGTGTATAGCAATGCCCCTGCAAAACTTGCTAAAATGCATGTTGAAGTTCAGGAAGTCAGGGTCTTGATTTCTAGGAAGGGCCCAGGTAATGAGAATACTGCTGACCAACTTTGACAGAGAGACCAGAGTTCAGTGAACTTAATTTACACTACAACAGAGTGGTTTTATTCCATTCCACCTGTATTTTCTAAGTTATATCAGCCATGAACACTTCCCCCAAACAAACCCTTTCCCCACTGAAAACTTCCACCCCTCTTGAAAACAGAACCTTGGGCAATCTGTTTCATCTTAGGACCTGAGAGTCCTCTCAGAGGTAAAAAGAGGCCTATCATCATCATGATTACTTCACACAGAACAGTGAAAAGGGTAAATGCTTAGCATTTAGTTTCTAAAGTGTGAAAGAGACACATAATAAGCAAAAATGATTGAAAATTGTGGATTATGACTATTGAGAAGTCTATATCACCTCCTCACTTTATATTCAATATGTCCCACAGCCACAGAAATCCTTCCCCTTTGTACTAGAGGTGAACAAAACAAACGTGAAAAAAATTCATCCCTGCAAGCATGTGAACAAAAGCAATGCTTATCCATTCAAGAACATCTGTTGAGTGGCTGTGATGTTCTGCGCGTGCCATGCATTGCCCCTATGCACTAGAGATGAGGTAAATCCTGGAGCCTACACTTGCAGCCATTTTAGCCAGGTAACATCTGGGGGAACATCTGGGACACTTATAAATCACATCATTACACATGATCTGCAATACTGTACAAAACTGAAACGTCTCCCAGGTGAACAAATTCCCATGTTGAGGAAGCATGGAACTTACCGGAGTGCAATATTCCACCATGGGGTAATGCATTTTATGGCCCTTCGCAACTCGACCAGAAAAAAAGCAACTTTGGCAGATGTCATAATTAAAGTGCTTTAGACTCCTGTACCTGGTAAAGAGCAAAAAAAACACATATGTATTTCTTCAGATCAAATTCCCCAGGAACACTCTTTTATGATCCTTCTTCCACACTATCTTAATTCTAGAAGCAAAATGCAATATTCATTGATCCCAAAAGGTAAGTGATTCACTTCCTACCTCCAGATTTCTCTGGTACGTCTCCTACAGTATCAAAATATTTTGGCAGAAAGATTATCCTATAAACATATGGAGGGAGGGAAGAAAAACTCAGCTCTTATTTAAACTCCACTAGAAACTCTTTGGGATTAAGTAGGACGGCTCTGGCAAACTTCCAGTCTTTTGAAGACCAAATACTAAAATTTAAAAGAACTTCCAGAACAGAGAGAATGATGCATGACTGCACCCCCTACCCATTATGGGGACATGTTTTTGAAGCAGTTTTCCCACAAATAGAAAGATAAAGCAATTTTGTAAGACAAAAGAAAATTAAACAAGAGCGCTCAATTAAAACAAATCTTGCTTTAATTATATTTGTGATTGAGTTATAAGAATCCTCTTTTTGGATAATCACTTTTATTTCTCACAAAAATCCCTATCTTAACCACAAATGATAACAGAAGTCTCAAGAAAAGATAAAATTTGGGATAAGATGAAAGAATTTATAATCCTTACATACTTGAGACATTCCCCCTTCTCAGGATATTGTATTCTTTGGTCCCTATTTTTCTTTCCTTTTGCCAATTCATATTCTTTATAGCACATAAGGGTCACTACCTATTTTAGATCCCTATCACCTTTTAACTGGGGGGAGGAGGGTGGTGGGTAGGGAGGAGGATAGGAAGTGCTGATTCCTAAAATAATCTAACCTGATAAGGGCAAAAGAATTGAAAATGCTTATACCCTCCAAAGCATTGTTCCATTTAGATTTTATAGAACTCTCCCTGGTATACAAATCATTAAGCTGGGGATGCTGAGAGTAGATTGGTAAGAATTTTAATGCAGACCCTTATGTGTCCCCTCTCTATCCCACCATAGTGTCATTCTTCCCTGCTCAAACCCAAAAAATAAAGGTGTCCTTTGCAATGCCTACTCAATGTTGACTACATAGGGTTTAGAAAGCACTAAGGGTTTTTTTTTTTGGTAAAAACTCTTTGTAAACAAAATGGAGTATAGAAGAAAAAATAGCAAGGGTAAAGGAGCATTGTGAATAAAAACCACACAAAATGTACAAAGTAGTTATTAGGAAATAAAGTAATAAAACAAGTTCAAGCATAACCAGAAAGACTGTTTACTTAGCTGTTAAGTGGTTCCTGAATAGGCACGGACTATATTGCTAGGTTCTGCACTGGGCTTCATTCATTGCTATGGAAACACGGATGTGGCTCCAGATGTTTAAATATATCACTGTTTCAGATTTTGGATTAGAGATTACTGTACAATAAGAGGAGTACATTTCAAAAGATCCTGTCTCCCCAAACAGGTCAACAAGGCTGAGGGTTTAAGAGCCAACTGCCTGCTGTGACATTTTAAGAATATTTGAATAATAACCTGCTAGGTTTCCTATCTCTTCCACGTCTAAATTTATCAGGAGCACTTCTTGGTGCCTTTCTGAATCTTCCATTTAGCTGTATACTTTATATTCCCTTAGAAGTTCATTAGGGCACTATGTAGAATGTATCTGATTCACAGGTAAGTTTGAGGGTGCTTGAAACAATCTGCCTTACTTGGAGGGGAATCAAAAGTGGTCCAATGTCAGAAATAGACTTGAGCTTCCATAAGGGACACCCCAAACAGAACTATCTCGAGTTTTAGAACTGAGTCTGGGAGAATTTCTACACATAGGGGAGACCTTGACAAAAAGAAATGGTCAGAATGCTTGGGATGAGTGACCCAGCTACTATGGTCATATATTCTGACAGAGACAGCATGCAGCTCCATTCAACCAAGGATATGTCTCTGAAAAGTATAAAACGGCACTGCCTAATGAGTCAGAACCACCAAAATAAGCAAATAAATCAAAGTGAGTGACAGGGGTAATCAATGTCCCAGTCCAGTCACTTCTCCCACTGTGAAGAGGAACCAGCACACAGCAATGGGCACAGGAAACCACAGATCAAGTCATTAAATAGTGAGAATCAATGAGGGGATGGATGATGACACAGGAGCGTTTGGGTGGCTTGCTAGTACCTGAATCCAATGATCGGGCATTCCTTGCAGATGTTACACTTGGCTTGATGCTTGGCTGTTTCTGCAGCAGCTACTCTGTGCAACACAGGCAGCCACACCATGGACTGGGGCTCCAGTCGCATCCAGTCCAGGAAGAGGGCCGCTTCGATCTCGGGCTTGTTATTAGCCTACAAAGACAGGAGGGAGAGTAAAGAGGAGGCAAAGAAAGCAAAAAGGGGCAGGCGGCAGCTATCAATTCAGGCAATATATGAACTGACAGACACAGACAAACAACAGTTGCACAAGGAGGCTTCATTTACGTGGCCTGTTTAGAGAACCATGCTCTGATGGAAGCCCAGCAGCCAACTACCCGTGAGGTTTGGGGAAATTGCAACAACTCTGTTGAGTAATGCAACAACCATAAAGCCACACCAAACAAATTTAACAGAAAAGGTAAAGCAAACTACACTCCTGAGTGAAACTATCTGTAAGTTCATTGCTGAACGGATAGCTTAGTGTTAGCCAGGATTACAATGCTTATGCTTATTGGAGTCATTTCAAATGAGTGGGGAATAGGACATGGGGCTACTCATTTCCTTCCCCCACCAGAGCATTTGTTTCTCCATCTTGCATGAAATCAAAAATGAAGAAAATTTACAAGTCATCTGGTGTGGCCAGGGTCAGGGGGATTCAATTACCTGGGTGGTGTTAAGGAATGATTAAACTAAATATCCCAACCACAAAGTCAACAACACTGAAATCATGAGACCCAAACTTAAAAAGATGCCTGTCAAGATGACAGGCTGGTTGGGGCCAGAGTGATAGTACAAAGGGTAGGAAGGGTAGGGCATTTGCCTTGCACGCAGCTGACCCAGGTTCAATCCCGGGCATCCCATATGGTCCCCTGATCACTGCCAGGAGTAATTCCTGAGTGCAGAGCCAGGAGTAACCTCTGAATATTGGTGGGTGTGACCCAAAAAGCAAAAAACAAACAAAAAAACAAAGATAACAGGCTGGTGATATGGTGAATGGAGGGGTGTGTGTGTGTGTGTGTGTGTGTGTGTGTGTGTGTGTGTGTGTGGTGGGGACTGCAAACACTGGTTGGAGCCTCTATTTCTTTGCAAAGACCTTCCTTACTTTTCCTCCTTTATGTTCTTCTGTGCTCCATTCTAGTAATTTTTCCATTTGATTGCCTGGGTATTTATATCTCTCTTTGGTGGCCTCCCAATAAGAGCTCATATACTTTTAAATTTTGATTCTTGCACTTTAAAAAAGATTTCTAGATGTTATATTGAGGTGATTTTTAAGGTCACTTCTAAAGTTTGTAGTTCCCTAGAGATATTTTTCAGAGATTTTTCAATATTGCTTTTTTAAAAACAGAGTAGATTTAATTTTCATAAAATAATCTGCATAATTATTCCAAGATATACAATTAGGTCAGTTTTATGGCCCTCAGATCCTCACTCACGTCAGATGTTTTGTGGCTTGAATAGGGGCCGCTCATGGTGATGCTTGGCCTGAAGTTATGAGCCTGATGGTTCAGTACTCAGGCTTGGCAGTGCTTAGGTGCCACTAGGAATACACCCATCAGTACTCAAGAGGTCATGGAATGCTGGGGATCAAACTCAGGGAGTGGCACATGCTAGGAACGTATGCTACTACTTAAACAATATCCCATCCCCTAAACTCTTATTTTCTGTGTTTGTTAACTGTGTACACCGTGAACTTAAAAAATATTTTTCTAGAGATGGGGATGGAATGATAGCACAGTGGGTAGGGCATTTGCCTTGTATGTGGCCAACCCGGGTTTGATTCCCAGCATCCCATATGGTTCCCTGAGCACCACCTGGAGTAATTCCTGAGTGCAGAGCCAGGAGTAACCCCTGTGCATCTCCAGGTGACCCAAAAAGCAAAATATATATATTTTTCTAGAGATACTTCCAGTTCGAGAATGAAGATGGCTTTTGCAGATGACTGTCATTTGCTTTTGTCATTACACAAAGGGTGCGTCCTCTTAGGAGAGCAATGTAAATGGACTCTACAACCAACAGGATATCTAGTATCATGTAAACAATGACTATTTGTACTACAAACCCATGTTGCTTCTCTTGGAATATGATTCACTAGTAGTGAAGCAATTCACACTTCACACCAAAACACACTTGGTTTTGAACTGACAAGGTCATTGGCTTGCAGCCATGACCACTTCAACAGAACTCTCGTCATTACCCTGAAAATAAATTAAAACAGCTTTCTAATGAGCAGTTTAACCTTGGACTTCCTAACTGCAAAATGGTATCAGTTCAAGCTACTAATCCACAGCTTCTGTTGAGTACCTTTCTGTGTGTTGAGGGCCACTACAGAGGTAGGAGGTACCATGTATAAAACTCTGTAAAACTTAAATAATTATAGGGGCTGGGGAGACAACTCAAAAGACTGGACTGCATGTATGGCTTGAATGAAACTCTGAGTTCTATCCCTCATGGTGCATGGCCTATGAGAGCACTGTTAGACATGAGCTTTGAATAATCAGGTCGTCTGAGCCAAGCCAAGTGTCACTGGGAGCGGTAGCTGGGTCCCCTGTGCATTAGCCTTGGAAACAGCCTCCTCCAAGGAAAGGGACAAAACTAAAGAATTACAGAACAGCACCCAGAGATGCAGTTCTGTAGTAGATTACATACTGTGCATGGGACCTTGCAAACTGAAAATACTTGAACATCTATGCACAGATAAAGTGCTTCATCACACAGAGCTGTCAGCAGAGTAGATGTGCCCAAATCAAACCACGGTTCCAAACCCAGCTTTGCCATTTGCTGTTGCTGCGACTTTATGAAAAGAACTCTCTCTGTTGCAATTTTCTTATAGTACAAAGTGGAATTTTTATTTGTGCCAACCTCACAGGGTTGATTCAAGATCAAAATAAATGAACAAAGGAAAGACCCGTAAAACAGCATTCTTGCACTCACCAAGAGCCACATCAGTATTATTATCTCAAAACCCAGATGTTTTTGAAATTTGTGAAGGGAGATGCTAGGTCTGCTCATGCCCCTTTATCTGTATGCATTTTATTTCTGCATCATAGGGCAGATCTTGGCTTGCCATTGCCCTGTAGAAAATCGTTCTCCAAACAAGAATTGCTAGAGAAGGTATCTCCCTTTCTCTGGACAGTCTAATTGGATGGCTTTCTTTTGTTCTGTACAATAGACTCACAAAGGGTTTCTACTCAACTCAGATCTCTGGGTCACTGTTTCCCAGTGCATCTAGCCAATCAATCATCCAGCAAAAATGCTTAATGAAAAGAAGGTCAAATTAGTTAAGGAAGCATGGCACATTATAACCACCTCTTAAAATTCTTAAAGCATGCTAACTATTAAAAACTGAGAAGGTTGTCGCTACAGAAAAGTATTTGACCTCAGAATTTCACCCACTAGTTACTCAGGGATACCGATATCATTATCTCTCACTTTCTTTCCAATTTGTAAGTCCTTTTAGTTGTAACAGTACAAGGTAACAGTATAAGGCATCACGCCCCCTCTCTCATACATGATAGGAAATGTGGTTTTTGGCTGTTTCGAGTGACAGATCAATTCTGTTACTGGGACAAGTTTCCTTTCCTTTCTGTTAAGGTCTTCCCTGTTCATTTGCTCCCATCATTCAGTAACATCAATCTCTTTATGATTCTTAATTATTACAGCTAACAAATTAGCTATTCCTTCTGTCTTAGTACAACTGTTACATTTTTTTAATGTGTTCTGTCTTCATCAAAAAATTTCTGTTTAAAATATCAAAGGCACCAAGGACAAACATGAGTCATCCCTAAAGCCAGCACCTCAGGTCAACACAAAGCCAGACTCAGTCCTCTGTGTTTGTTGAACTATAACACTTTCGAGTTTTAATAACAGTCATTCTTTACCGTATACAGAGACACAATGAGAAACTGTCGAAAGACCCGCATGTTTCAGCTACACCATGTCCTATAACAATTGTCTTCTTCTAGTCTATAACTATCAAAATAACCATGTCTAACTAGGAGATATCCCAATATAGAAAGGCAGTATATTTAAAGGACCACTAATTTATTTCTCTTTAAAATATGGGGTTCTTGCTACTTAATATGAATATGTATATTATTTCTGACTTTGGTTTAAATGAGAGTTGATTATGAATTCAAAGATATGCTGCAGAGTACGAATTAGGTTTGATATAGAAAATGAAATAAGAAGAGAAAGTTTCTGTTTATTCTGGAAGACAGAAAATTCTCATCATGAGTCAGCAATAAATGTAGCACCGTAACACTGTCCTCCCATTGTTCATCAATTTGCTCGAGTGGGCATCAGTAATGTCTCACAACAAATTGTGAGACTTGTTACTGTTTTTGGCATATTGAATATGTCATGGGGAGCTTGCCAGGCTTTACCACATGGGCGAGATATTCTTGATAGCTTGCCGGGCTCTCCAAGAGAGGTGGAGAAATCGAACCTGGGTGAGCCGCTTGCAAGGCAAACGCCCTACTGGCTGTGCTATTGCTCCAGCCCAGCAATAAATGAGCGATGAAAAATTAAAAAAACACAAGGGCCCTTGGCTGTGGCTCAGTAGTAGAGCATATGCTTCGCATGTATGAGGTCCTGAGTTCAATCACTGGCACCAAAAATTAAAAGACAAAAAGAAACCCCGTATCAGTGATATCTAATTAAAGGCATAGCAAGTATAGTGTGACGAACAGATATTATTACCCTCAGTGCTGTTCAAACCCTTCTTAAAAAACAGTATCTCATTCTTGTTACAACTGACCCAGAAGGCTCAGCAGAAAGGTATAATGATAATTAAAGGGTTTAAAACACCTACAAGAACAGCTTAAGGGAATATGATTATTTAACTCTGTGTGTATGTGTGTGTGTGTGTGTGTGTGTGTGTGTGTATGTGGTGTGGGGGGTTGGGGAAGGAAGTGACTTAGCAAGAAAGAACGGCTGAAGGGGCGACTTAATAACAGTTTTCAATTATGTGAATGGCTCTGGCATAGGGGCCTGTGACCAGCTGTTCAATCCTCCACTGAGGACAGAACAAGAAAAAGCAGGCTTAAGAAGCATGAAGAATTTTGGCTATAACTCACATGGAAGAATTTCCTGATGCTGAATGTGGTTAAAGCATTAGTTTGAATTACCAAGGGAAGCTATAGAATGCTCTTTTA